TAATTATAATCTTGCGTGCTGTTATTATAGGCATTCTCCAACTTATCTTTTAAGATAAATGTGTATAGAAATTCATAGTATATAAGATGATGATTATGAATAATTAGGGATTTTCAAGGACCATCAAACCCAACTCCCCCCACTCAGCTTGTTATATGCTCAACCATATCATTCATTTCTATCATGCGGGATCACAAAATTAAATAATATTCTTATTGACAGTTTGTAATCACCAGATAAGTTAATTAACAAAGTCAATTATATGATAGAAGATCATATAATTACATTCAAAGTCTTTTTTTTTTTTTTGCGTTACAAGGAGGCTTAAACCAAAGAAAGCAGATTACACGGGGGTAGCGGAATGAGTAGAAGAGGAAGGAGGCTCTACGACAACTCGTCGCTCAAAAGTGATGCCCATGTTGTCATCCTGTAAGATCCTTCCTAAGCTTGTGGGCGGGTTTGCAAGTTCATGCAAATCGTAGGGATAGACGAGACTGTGCTTCAAGAGCCAGTCTGCGACTCTATTCCCTTCCTGGTATGTATGAGTGATGGTCACCAGCCAGTCTAGACTTAGTTTTCTGCGAATGGCCGAGAGGAGAGTTGAGTGGGGATGAACCTGATCCAGCCGGTTGTTGATCAGCTCAATGGCTAACTTTGAGTCGGACTCAATCTTCAATGTAAGACATCCTCTATTCCAAGCAACTTCTAGTCCATGTAAGAAGGCCCATAGCTCGGCCAAAGTTGCTGTAGTCGAGCCTATGTTACTCACGAAGCCTGAAACCCACCGTCCTGCGCTGTCCCGAATGCAACCTCCTGCACCGGCTGGTCCTGGATTACCACAAGACGCCCCATCAATATTAAGGTTAAACCAACCTGTAGGTGGATGCTTCCACCCAATGTTCTGCATCACTCGCAAGACCGGATGATTCCTGTTGCCGGGGAGAGCTGTCTTTGCATGCCAAGCTTTGTGCCAAAGCTTGCCTTGACTACAGTAGCATTCTCAAGAGAAGGCGGAGATAAAGCTGCAGTGAGACCTTTGAAGCAAGCAGAGCATCTATTCTTCCAAAGGCACCACACTGTGACACTGAAAAATGCTGCCCACTGCATTCCTGTAATGTCAGTCTCGGTGCTGCCCATATTCTCTTGAAGCCAGTTGTTTTGGTCGGCTTTGAAAAAAGGAGTGTTGGTTCGATTTTGGAACGTGCCTGCTCCAGAAAAAGGGCTGGCGGACAGTCTCTGAGAACATGTAAAATGCTTTCTGGTTGGCCATGACAACGCACACAGAAGGGGGTTGGCTGTAGATTTCCTGCAAAATCGAAGCATATTAGTCGCAATCCTTCCTAGGCAAGTTAGCCAAAGGAAGCTCCTGACACGTTCCGGGACTGGGAGGCTCCAAATCATCTTCCAATACTTCTCATCCTGATCTACAATGTCTTGGTTGAGAAGGTTGTAAGCTGACTTAGCTAAAAAATTGCCATATGAGGAGGCACTCCAAAAGATAGTGTCATTCTCATAAGAGAGTTTGTCCACCGCCTAGGTGAGGATCTTCATTTGCACCTCATACGGGAGGAGGTCAGCAAAAAGTTTTGTCCGCCTAAACCCTTCATGCTTCACAAACTCTGCAATTACGGGATCCTCCATGGCCTCCGGGATTGAGCTGACGACCACATCTTTGAGAGGTACTTGCAGAATCTAGATATCCAACCAAAATTTAGTGTGCCTACCATTCTTAATGTTCTAAGCACAGCCTTTCCGGAGAAGTCCGGTAGCCTTAGAGAAGCTTTTCCAGGTAAACGAACTTCCTTGAATAGGTCGGATGACGTCTAATCCTTCACGATTGCGGCCATACTTGTCCCTTAAGACCTTGGTCCAAAGGTTTTCCGGTTCTTTAAGCATCCGCTATCCGCCCTTAGCAAGCATCGCCAGATTTGCCTATCTGAGGGATCTCAAGCCATCGCCACCATGCCTCCTAAGAAGGATCATTTTCTCCCAAGCTACTAGGTGCATCTTGGCTTTATCCTCTTCATCTCCCCAGATAAAATCTCTGTTGAGCTTACTATACATTTGCACACACCAACGGGGATTAGTTCAGAGCTCATGCTGTAAGTGGGAAGAGAAGAAGTTACCGATCTAGCAACGATCAACCTCACTGCCAAAGAAAGCCGACGTGCTTTCCATGGTGCCAGCTTCTTCTGAATCCTCAAGAGGAGTCCCTGATAGCGTCCTTTGGTGACTCGACCATGGAAAATCTCGATTCCTAGATATTTTCCAAGTTCCTGTTTGAGAGGTGTGCCTGTTTTCCGGCTCTAAAGGTTTTCTTTAGTGCGATCCACGTTGGGGGAGATGTACATAATCGACTTGTTGTAATTCACTCGTTGTCTCAAACTAGAGCAGAAGTCTTTCAAACACTCTTTAATCACCCTTATCTGTCTAGATTCAGCTTCTGCAAACAGGAGCAGATCATCTGCAAAGAAAAGATGAGTCAGTGGTGGGCCATCTTTAGTAAGGTGAATGGCTTTCCATTGCTTACTAAAAAAGGCCTCATCAATTCTATGAGATAAGCGCTCCATACATAAGACAAAGAGATAAGGGATAAAGGGTCTCCCTGACGAACTCCACGGGAAGGAGTGATTGGTGGCGAGAGCTTCCCATTCCACAAGATTCTCATCCGGTTTTGTTGTACACATTACATTATATAGCTTATCCAGTCGCTTGGAAGTCCCACCTCCTTTAAGGTATCCCGCAAGAAATTCCACCTAAGCATATCATACGCCTTTTCCAGGTCAATCTTGAATACCATTCCTCCCTTCTTTCCTCTTTTTTTCTTCAAAGTATGAAGTACCTCCTGCACTATGATTATATTATCCGTTGTCTGTCTGCCGGGGATGAAGCTGCTTTGTCTGGGGGAGACCAATTTCCTCATAATCGGTTTGATCCGGCTCGTCATTGCCTTGGTGATAGCTTTTAGGATGACATTATTGAGCAAAATTGACCTTAGCTGAGCGACCAACTCCGGGTTGTCAACCTTTGGGATGAGCTTCACCGTAGACTCGGAGACGTCTGGCGGAAGAACCCCTGTCGAGAAGAAATGGATTGCCATATTCATGAGGGTCTTGCCAGTCGTGTTCCAAGATTGTTGGTAGAAGGCCGCCTGAAAACCATCCAGACCAGGAGCCTGGAATTGTTTCATGTCAAAAATCGCTCTATGGATGTTCATGATGGTGAACGGGCGAAGCAAGGTTATCATCTCAGCTCGGTCCAATCTAGGGAAAGCTTGCTTGGGCAGCTTATCTGCATAAACAGAATCATCCTGCAGGTAAAGGTTAGCAAAGTAATCAAATACAAGAGACGCAAGGATTTCGGGGTCATCCACCCAGTCACCACTCAAATCTCTTAGAGCTCCAATCTTATTGCGACGTCTCCTGATGTTAACTTGTTGGTGGAAGTATGCAGTGTTCCGTCTCCGAATTGCACATATTTCTCTCTGGCCCTCTGGAACCACACAAGCTCTTCATGCTCCACGACTTTATCCAGATCCTCCTGAAGTTTAGAATGGATTTTGGATAATCCTGGATCGAAGGAATCGGCAAGCATGATCTCCACCCCTCGAATCCGGGCTGCTAAATATTCCCAAATACATTGGAGTTCCAATCCTTGAGTTTTGCAGCAAGGTTCCCCAAAGCTTGGGGAAGGTTGAGGTTGACTCCCCAATTGGCTGCAACAAAGTCCAAGAAGTTAGGATGAGTGAACCAAACAGCTTTGCATTTAAATTTGCGAGGGTCAGAAGGAGTTGGCCCCTGGAGAGCAATTGTGGTCAAGATAGGATTATGATCAGAGTGAAGCCGGGGCAAGTGGCAGACAAAAGTAGAGGGAAACACAGCATTCCACATTGGATTGCAAAAGCTTCTGTCGATTCTGCTAGCTTTGTGGCTATTGATCTTATCTCCTCCGATCTAGGTAAAACGCGGCCCCAAATAACCTAGATTGATCAACTCGACAAGGTGGAAGCTGAGGAGGCACCACTCTTCTCTTCCGGGCTGCGGATACATTGAAATCTCTCGTGAGAAGCCAAGGGATGTCAATCCTCTTGCTTTAATCGATTAGGTTATTTCATAGACTATGCTGCTTGCTCGGTTGCGGGGATGCATAGATAGCCGTGAGCATCCAAGGTGTCGCGTTCCCTGGAGAAATACAGAGAGAGATGTGTTGATTGTAGGATGAGGTGAGAGTTGTCGAGAATTTCCTGTTATTCCAGAACACCCAAATGCCTTCCTTCTTTCCATCAGCTTCCACTCTTAGAACATTGGAGTAAGCCAAACGATCACAAAGGGCATTCACAGTATCGCCGCTGATTTGTGGCTCAAGGAGAATGAAAAAATATGGATGTTGCGTCTCAATGACCAGCTTTGGAGAGTGCGTAAAGGCTCTAATCCCTGCTCCACCTACATTCCAAGCCAATACTTTGATATCATTTATTTGTGACATACGGATAAAATAAACAGAACGGAATGGGGAGAGAGGAGGAAGTCAGAGAGGAAAAGAAAACACACAATTAGGTGGGGGGAGCCATAGTCGAGGCCTCCAGTGACTGAGGTATCAAGATTTCTGCCGCCATTTGTTCTTTAGGAGATTCTGAAATCGCCGCATCTTTTCCCCCTTTAGTCCATTCATTGATCTCCTGGAGCGTGAGTGAGGCCAATAGGTTTTTACCTTTACTCTTCTTCTCCTTCATGGGGGACCAAATTTGGAGAGGCGTGAGCATATTCTGCTTCATCGGAGAGCCTTTCCCAGAGCGAGATTTGGAGCTCTTGCTCTGCTTTGGTCTTCCTCTCGTCGCCGGCAACTTAGTGGTCGAGTGTGGCTTTGGCTTGAAAGAGGGTTGATGGGCCAAAATCATCTGTATACTGGTTCCATTAGGTTCGGTCAGGGTTTGGACAGGCATTGAAAGGTCAGGTTGAGCGAGAGACAAGGATTGGGCTGGAGGCCTGAGCTTTGCAGTATCAGGAGGGGGGGGGGACCGGCTGCCCGTTAGCGACTAGTGGGGACGAACATGAGGTCCCAGCAGAGTCACGAATGGGCTTGAGCCTAGAATTACTGGGGAAAGAGGGACCGGGGCCCAACAGCTCTTTGCTTGACGAGGCTTCTTCAGAAATCACCTTTTCCTTTCCTTTTCTAGGTGCTTCCTTATTCTTGCCAGCTGTCGGGATTTTTTTCACATAGTTAGTTGCCCGTTGGGAAGCCAACTGAGGAAGGTGTGGCCGCCCATTCATATCTCTGCTTTCCTTCTTAAAAGATCTATTCTTTCCATCCTTATATCCATTCCCTTGACTCTGCTTTCCAACGTCCATCTCCTCCTTCCCTTTCCTATTCTGGTCGCGATTGTTGCGGCGGCTTTTCCGGGAAACAATCAGCCAAGGTCCGAAATCAGCGCTGGGTTCCGTTACCGCCGGTGCCGAGCTATCCGAGTTCAAGATTCCGGCCACCGTCGGCCGCTCACCTTGAAGCACCAGCCTGAGTTTAGGACATGAAGTGGATGAATGTCCTACCTTTCCGCATTTGAAGCACACCTCCGGGAGATTCTCATATTCAATTTTCTGCCATTCCCCATCTAGGTGAACTCTTGGAATCAGAGGTTTCTCTAGGTTAATCTCGACAGCAAGGCGTGCAAACTTGGCTCGTTGTTGATTCAGAGTATGGTAGTCTAATTTGATCGTGCGTCCAAGCAGATTGCCAATTGAGATTAAGACCTCCTTGTGGTATAGATGTATCGGGAGGTCGGGGAGCTGAAGCCAGACAATCATCTTTTTCGGAAGCGGATCAGAGACTCTGAATTTTGGTGTCCATTGATGAACAACCACATAATGATCAAAAATTGTCCACGGCCCATCAGTCAGAGTTTTGAAATAATCTTGATCGTTCTCCAATCTAACCAAGAAGCAATCGTGATCCAAATCTCTCACTTCCATATGCCCAATCGGGTGTCACTATGATCGAAGCTGTGAGCATAGTGTGGAGAAACCCACCTTAATCGCCAGCAGCCGTAGCACAAGGGTTCTCTTCCATGGGGCACAAAGTCTATTCTTGAAAATGGTTGAAATCTTTAAGGTTGGTTCACCGTTGAAATCACCTGGTATGAGGTCATGCTCCCCTACCAGCGTCCACTGGTTACCTGGTATTTCCGAGGACATCTAATTCTTGGCTTCGGAGACAGCACTGGCATAGGAAAAGGGTCTAGTCCCTGTCGCCGTCGGGGAGGCCGTTACAGTGTTCACAATGGCGGAGGTTGCCATGACTTTCGTGTCCATGTTATTTTGTTGGCTGGAGTCCTGCCTGATCGTTGCAGTGCTGTCTATCGCCATTCCGGACTGGGACGTCACAGGTTGAGGGTCGAGCATAGCGACATCGATATCTTGAAGTGTCATTAACTGAGAACTATCCGGCGGCCAGCCAGGATGAGCGGACGCCGGAGTTGAAGGTTTTTGTTGATTGAGATCGCTAGAGAGCATAGCTTTGTTTGAACTATATGCATCAGAAATCACTTGATTCAAAGTCTTATTAAAGCTTCTAAAAAAAGTCTTAATAGAGAAAAGATCGTATAATAATATTTAAACCGGTGTTCCTTCTTCTATTGAAGTTCAACCTGCTAATTACATTCTTTTTTCGATTGAAGTTTGTAGCTCTATGGATAAAAAATGAAGTTCTTACTACCGGCCTTCAACCACAGATCGTGAGAATTTTATCTTCTGAATATTTCTTTCATTTTTATGACCTTGTCAAGCTAGATTGAAATTTCACCGCCTTCACAATGTTTCTTCCTTTTTTTTGGATAGAAAGACATACGACGGAGCATCTAGATTATATTACTAGTAAATAGACATTGGGAAACTCCCATGATGTCGTGGTACAACCAATGTCTAAATCCTAGGTCGCACACAGTGAAGTAATGTGTGCCAAAATCAACATCGTGACCCCTATCTGCTAAGTAATCAGCAAGAAAATTTGACTCCCTAAAAACATGGTTAATAACAACCTCCCACTCAAGACTAAGCAAGTGGTTAATCTTATTGCAATTAACCCATGTCGATGCTCATCATCATCAAGATGCTTAGCAATCTCAATAGCCATTGAAGAGTCCATATTCAACTGAATCTTCTTGTAGCCCTTGTTCCATGCAATCTTTAAACCCTCCACGACTCCTTTCAATTTTGCACTTGTAATTGAGAAGATCCCCAGGTTGCTGACAAAGGCTTCATGGCACTTTCCCTTGTGGTCTCTGATCAGCCCTCATGCTGCAGCTCGTCCAGATGTGGTAAGAACCTATCGATCCGTTTGAAGTTGCATCCATCCTTCTGGTGGAGGATGCCATGAGATTTGCAGGTGTCTGTTTGGTGCTGGTGTGGCTGTAATCTTCTCGTCCCTCTGTTTCGCTTGCTCGATAATATTGATCCAACCCTTAATTTTGCATTGGAGTCCCTGCTCAGCGAAGGGTCTTCCCTCCATAACTTCCTCATTCCTCTGCTTACACATCATCCAAAAAACAATGCCAAAATCAACTCCTGTTTCCTCGCGCTTTAGGTTGTTCAACGTCCATTCCTGGAAAGTGGCAGTGTGGTTCTTAAAGGCAATTTTGTCCTTGAATATTCCCCAAATGGGCGTCTCTTTTCCACATCTTCTCAAAATGTGTTCAATCGATTCCTCTTCACCAATGCAGTTAAAATCGCGCTTTAAACCTTAAAAACTTACGGTTTTACGCTATTAGGACACCAAATCGCTTTCGTTTCTATATAAAATCTTTAGTGTATAAAATCGAACTAAATTGCGCTTTAAAGCTTATGCTTTTACGCTTCTAGCTCACCAAAACGCTTTACGCTTTTACGCTTCTACTTCACCAAATGAGTATTTTTTTCATGAAATTAATTATAAAAAGTATAGTTTAAAGTTAAATCACCAACAATATGATATATTTCAGATTAAAAGATACATACAATGTATTTGGATGCACTCTCAGTTTCAATAGAGTAATCTAATTCATCAGCTAGGCCCTTCCTAAATTCATTAGCATAAAGGGGAAGGTGACTTATAGTTAAGATCAATGTTTATGAACTTATTGTTAAGATGCTATAAGTTTCTCTACTTAAGATATGATTTGCAGGTGCTTATTGAATTATCTAAATTACGTATACTTATATTTTACATAGTATGTGTCGTACTAAACATAAATTTTTTAGCTATTTTATAGCATGCGTCAAAAACTTACGCTTTGATTCTACGCTTTACGATTTTACCCATTTTCCGCTTCTAGGTAGAATCGCGCTTTTGACTGCATTGCTCTTCACATCTGCAGTGATTGCAGCAGCTCGAGGTAGCAATCTTCCGTCTCACTCTTTCCTTGTTGGTGAAGAGTCTTTCGTGCGTAGCCAGCCACAAGAAATGTTTTGCTCTGTTTGGTCCTTTCAATCTCCAAAGTGACATCCAGATCGCTTCATCATCCTCGCCTTTGATGTTTGCTGCCAGGTTGTATGCTTATTTAAGTCGAAATCTACCGTCCCTTGCCAGCCCCCAAATCAAAAGGAGAATGTCATCAAGAAGAAGCTTTTTGGACCTGTCCAATCTCAAATCACCTTACTCAGAAATCCAGTCAGTAACATTGGTTTGGCTCTCCTCCTCATAAATGTCATGGAGAAGGTAGTCCCCGAGCACAATTCCATTATAGATCCAAGGCTGTCTCCAAAAGCTTGTATTCATTCCATCTTGAATGCTCCAACACGAGGCTTCTTTCGTCAGGGGCATAGCTTTGACAATGGTCTTCTAGAGACTAGATTGGTTAGACTTCTTCATCGAAACAATCACCATGTCCTTATGCTTGAAGTACTTTTCCTGCAAAACCTTGACTTATAAATCATTCTCATTGTTAAAGATTTGTCACACAAGTTTGATCATAAGACATATTAAGACATCGAGCATATCTGATACCAAATCCTTCTTGAGCTTTGGGTTTCCAGATAGTCTCCCAACCAACAACGTGAGCCTCTCTTTGTTGCGGTTACTCAAACCATGTTAGTATTGGGCCTTGTTGGGCCTAATCCGAGTTGTAGTAGGTACAAATACTTGGGCATACTCGAATCTTCTCGTTAGGGTTTTAACCCTAGTATATCGCTATAAAGACTTAGTTACAAACCTGTCATAAGCAAGCCATCACAATGTAGTCCTCAAATAATAAAATGTCAGTCGTGAGCTCTTTTGAGCTCACCGTGGATTAGTCTCGATCAATCAATTGATCGAGTATATCACGTAAAATCTCCTATCTCCTGTGTTCTTTCAATTCTGTGTCATCAAATTCTTCATGGTATCAGAGCTATAGCTCCGGTTTGTCTTCCGCGCACCAGCAAAGTTCATCCCGCTGGCTTGTTCACTTCATCAGCGATGTTATTTCGCTGAGCATAGTCAACAGCCGCCTCGTCCTCAGGTACATCGTCGCTAGGTCAACGATAGTGTCCAAGAGAGCTGGTGTTCATTCCGGTTCCCTAGCTATCCCGTGATCTCCTACTAAGAGAAACGGAAGGAGGCGAGATTTGGGTGGAAGAGCAGCAGAAAAACTGCTGTCTTCTCTTTAGGGTTTTTGTATTTATATGGAACTCCAACGGCTAATGAACAGTATTAACAGCCAATTGAATTCCATTAACCAAAGCCCGACAGTTGGCTGGTGGGAATTGGCTTATTCTCAACTAATCCTACACAGAGGATTAAACAAATAACAGAAAGGAAAACGGCACCGCACAAGCAAATGTACAAGTGCCAAATCAGTTCCAAACTTCTATCCTTCTCCATTTCAGTCCATCGTGCAAGTGCTGCTGACCATTGCCAATCCTAAGCTGACCAGGATTGCAATGTTGAATGGCTGTGGCTGCTGTTCTTCTGGATTCAGGTTGATCCTCCAATAGGCCCCCACAAGATGGCGAGTAAACATCAATTACTCCCATCTTGCCAAGTAATTCCAACAATCTGTACTTGCTAACACCCTTGGTGAAAACATCAGCTAACTGATCTGAAGTATGGTGATAGGCCAACTGAATCATACCTGTTTTAATTCTTTCCCTGGTAACATGCATATCAATCTCGATATGCTTTGTCCTCTCATGAAAAACAGGATTTTCTGCAATGTGGATGGCAGACCTGTTGTCACAGTAAACTGTAATTGGAACCTTAACTTGAACTCCCAACTCAGACAACAGTCCCTTTAACCATTGAATTTCACACACCAAATGAGCCAAAGCTCGATATTCTGCTTCTGATGAAGACCTGGAAACAGTTGTTTGCTTTTTACTTTTCCACGTCAACAAGGAATTTCCAAAGTAAGTGCAGAATCCTGTTATGGATCTTCTAGTGTCTGGACATGCTGCATTTCTCACTATCTCAAGACCCAGGAAGTATTTCAGGACACCTAGATCTTTGATCTTGAAACTCCTTTTCAGAAACAGTTTTACCAACTCCAGATCATCAAGCTTCTCTCCTGCCAAGATTATATCATCAACATACACTAGTAAAACAACCATTCTACCCTGTACTTTCTTTGTGAACATGGAATAATCAGCAGCTGATTGTGAGAAACCATTCTTCAGTAATGAACAAGTTAGCTTGGCAAACCATTGCCTGCTAGCTTGTTTCAGTCCATACAAGGACTTTCTGAGCCTACAAACCTTTCCTTCACTTCCCTCTAGACCAGGTGGTGGTGACATGTATACTTCCTCATCTAAGTCACCATGCAAGAATGCATTTGACACATCCATTTGATGTAGGTTCC